CTCGTTAACATTGTCTTGGTTTTCACTATATTTTAAAAGCATTTTTAGATATAACATTTTCCTAGGTTTTCACTGTATTGTTCTAACATGTTACATGCCTCCTAGCATGTTCACGCGTGTCCTCCATGTTGTACTGTTTTCTACATCATTTCCTCTAGTTGTTACAAGCATTTCCTAGCGTGTACACCGTTTTCCGAATATTGTCATAACTTTTCTTCCAGTTTCCACTGTTTTTTCTACCGTTTCCTGTGGTTATTTTCTTCTCTTTTGTAGGTTTTCACTGTGTTTTGTCCAGCTTTTTTTATTACATGCTTCCTACCATTTTCACCGCTTTCCTCTATGGCTTTTTGTACCATTTCCTCTCGTTTCCTGCATTTCATGCATTTTCAATATATTTTTCCAAGAGTTTTACCCGTCTCCTTCAGTTTCCGATCGTTTTTGCACCATTTCCTCTGGTTGTTATCGCATTTTCCTGCACTTTCACTGTATTTTTCCAGCATGTTTACTGCATCGTCATAGTTTGTTCCTAGCAGTCGCTCCGGGTTTCCTCCATGTTCCAACAGATTTTGCACCCTTTATTCTGGTTGTTATCACATTTTCCTGCCAGGTTGTTATCACATTTTCCTTCACTGTATGTTTCCAGCATTTTCCAGTGGATTTTGCACGATTTCCTCTGATTGTTATCATGTTTTCCTGCAGTTTCTATATCATCTATATCCTTTTCGTGGGTTTTCAATCTATTCATGCATTTTTAATCTATTTTTCCAAGATTTTTACCCGTCTCCTTTTTACACCATTTCCTCTGGTTTGCTGCATTTTCAATGTACTTTTCCAAGAGTTTTACCCATCTCCTTGATTTTTCCGATCGTTTTTGCACCATTTCCTTTGGTTGTTATCGCATTTTCCTGCACTTTCACTGTCTTTTTCCAACATGTTTACTGCATCGTCATAGTTTGTTCCTAGCAGTCACTCCGGTTTCCTCCATGTTCCAACAGATTTTGCATGGCTTGTTCCTAGCATTTTCCTCTGATCGTTATCATGTTTTGCTCAAGTTTCATTGTATTTTCCAATACATCCTCTTCGTGGGTTTTCAATATGTTTTGTCCATTATTTTTTTACTACATGTTTCCTATCATTTTCACCTCTTTCCTCCATAGGTTTTTGCACCATTTCCTCTGGTTTCCTGCATTTTCATACCTTTTCAATATGAATATTAATCCAAGAGTTTTACCTGTCTCCTTCATTTTCCGATCCTTTTTGCACCATTTCCTCTCGTTGTTATCACATTTTCCTGCACTTTCACTGTATTTTTCCAGCATGTTTACTGCATCGTCATGGTTTGCGCCTAGCATTCGCTCCGGTTTCCTCCATTTTCCAAGGGCTTTTCCATGGTTTGTTCCTCGCATTCGCTCCGTTTTCGTCCGTTTTCCAGGGGATTTTGTACGATTTCCTCTGATCGTTATTATGTTCTCCTGCAGTTTCATTGTATTTTCCAATACATCCTCATGGCCTTTCCGGCCACCAAAAAGGCGGACCTAGGGGGAATCGATACCCCACCGTCAGCAAATTGCCTAGTGGTACTTAATCCAGCAAAATGCTCCGTTTTCTGGCGCTCAACACAGGGGCACGGCGAGATTTCGTTCCCTTTCGGCAACCACCCCCCCCCACACCCCCTATTCTCACTTCGTTCGCAAACAGCAACTAGCCAGCTAGCTGGCTTTCGTAACAAACATAAAAAAACACCAAACGTACCCAAATGATTCCTTTGCACACCGGAGATGAAATTTGCCCTTCTTTTGCCCATGCCCGATTCCTGCCAGATTAGCGGCTTGTGTTTTTGTCATGGCAGAAGCTTCTGCCAAAGCGTTGTCTTTGGCTGCCTCCTCTCGTTTCATTTTTCTGGTTTGATCAAAATTGATTGTAAACAACATATCCCCCTTTGTATTCAGTTTTTGACCCGGGTGTCCGGTTCTTTGGTGGAGGGTGCCATTAAAAATAAGGTCATACCTCCGGACACAGTGGGTTTCGATGGATTTTCTAGAGACAGTTAGTGTTATGCCTGTGGATCTTGGGGATTTCCGGGGACGTCTGGATATGAGAACTGGACTGGGTTCGAGCTGGTGTCTGATTCTTTAGAGCTATACCCTGCAAAACGATAAACATATTTATTTGTATAAATCAATATATGCAATTTGTTGCTTTTATCATATCTAGTGTCAGTTTGGTTGCGTTTATTGAGCAATGTTTTGGCCAGTACTTTAAACATTGACAAACTCAACTTAGGGTTCCAAATTAAATCTCTAAAGAATCAAGGGGGAACTAATAACCCGGGTTGAATTTTGTTTTAGCCAGGGAAAATTCCAAGAGGAATAACACCATATGATTTTCAAACGCTCTGTTTTCAAACGCTCATAAATGTGCAATAGTCCGGCGTCCCTGAAGAATGTCCTTGTTGAAAAATCAATTGAAATGTGTTGTCAATGTTGAAACTTGTTTGGCTCATCTGCGATACAAACGATGGCCGGCGCACAACAGCAGTTTTAGCAAATCGCAAAAATTCAAAGAGCTTGTCTATTGCCCCTCAAAATGCTCTCTCTAAAAAATCATGACCTAGGAAGCCTTTGCAAAAAATAGGGACTCCGGGTTAGCCATGTGGAAAAATTATCTGTTTTTGCATTAAAAAAAACATTTTTTGTGACAACCCGGGTTGTTGCATTTTTTAGTGGAAATTCCAAGGGGGATCATTTACATGCATTCACTCATCACGTTTTCATTTTCCATCTCACCTTCACGTCTTCTGCTTGTGAGCATCTGTTCAAGCGGCAGGCAAGCTGGTTTTCATTTGACACACAATCCCAAAAACATTGATAAACATATCAAAAAACAAGTTCCTAGGATCTTCCCAGGAAGGCCTCTTAAAGAATAGGAAACCGTCAAAACAACAATATACATCTTAAAAAATGAAATTGGATTTGTTGCCGGCCAAACTGTCCTTTAAAAAATGTAGTTTTTTAAAGACATCATGTCCTCAAGTCATTAGGCTAAATTCCCAGGAGGATATTCTAAACATGGATTCTTTGAACTTAGGTTAAATTTAGCTATTGGTCAAAAAAAGCAGGAACCTAATAGAATGGGATATATTTAGATTATGATTGGTAATCGATGGTAATCGCATGTAATCACCAAAATATGTGTGACAAAAGCACGGCGCAGAGATTTTCAATTGCAATTGTCAGAGCTATGGGGCAACAAAAAGGATTTAAGCGCATAATTTTAAATTCAATTGATCGATTTTGAAACCAAATCTATCCCATTTTTCCTTCTTAAAATCTCTAGATAAAAGGCATGCTTTTCGAACTTTTTGGGCTTATCTGGAGGGGGACGCAGTGGATTCTACAAAAGCTTGTGCACGCGTGTGTCACTACAAAATATAGTGCATGACAAAAATTATCCAGAAACTAGGACATCACGTATCGAATCTGTGCTTTGTGGGTGAAAGAAACTCTAAACATGGATTCTTTGAACTTAGGTGAAATGTCCCCCTCCAGATATCATACATAATCATATTATATCAAACCTTGCCTAAGCCTTTCCATGTACAAAACCAGGGCGCCAAAGGCTCAGACTGGAAAGGTTGGGACATTTGTGTTGGTTTGCAATGGTGAATTCAAGCCCTGTAACAAAAAACACAATGATGGGGTTGGATCTTGTGTAAAATAGAAATCTCAGCAAATGTGGGACACATGATACATGACCCCATAAGCACTTTCATACTTCAAATGTTCGTAAAGTAATCTGAAGTGGCTCTCTACCCTAAACTAATTACTCAGGCACCACAACCTCGAGTCTGACGCCGTGAAAGGTGCATAGAATCAAAACATATCAAAACCACCACCTTATTTAGAAGTCATAGGGGGATACTCCCTGTGTTAAAAAATATGTTTTGGAGCACAACCCCCTTGATTTTACACAGCTGTTTGCCAGGGAGATTGCATTTACCCACAAAAAAACACACGTGTTTCCAAAAGGTTTATTTCAATAGGGAACATGACGCCTGACAATTAAAGAATTTAGTCCGGTATGAACTGTATACGTTGATTATAATTGATGGACATCCTATATTATCTTGAAAATACAAAGAATGTTCCTCGTTTTTTCCGGTGATCTTTGGTGATGCTCAGCGGCTTGACCATCTGAATTGAAAGATGGGCAGATGTTTTACATCGGCCCCACGTACTCCGTTCTCTGAATTGGCTGAACGGAAAAAAATGCTACGCGCCCTCGGTTGTTGATGAACAAAAGCTGTTGTTTCGCGTAATTAAGCAACTCAGTGACGGCTGCACTGGAAACATGTCCCACATATATCAATCTATAGCATCAAGCTATTGATCAACCTACTGCTTCATTGAGCTCTAGCCTTTGGGTCTCACTCTGGTGCAGACACCGCACTCAGATCGAAAAGGAGTCCGAGTCATCGTCCGCAACCGCTGCTTTAACAGACATGGGTAGTCCTTCTGGCACTTCATCTTTGGACCAACATCTACACTGCAGTAGACAAAGTCCAAGAATCAGGAAGAACAAGAATACAGCCAAGGGAATGCAGCTCAATTTAGGTGCAAAGATACCAGAAACACGCCCCAAGAAGGCTACTCCAATTGTCACGCAAACCACCAAAGCAGCCGAGATGATTCTAATGCACATCGGCACCCTGCCAGTCTGGGACCAGACGATTTTGTTTGCCCAAAGGTAGACGAGCATACTCGGAAATACAAATGCCCAACCTGCAGCCAAATTGTTGGTGAAAGCCAGAGCGAACTGCCATGTCGACGCTTCCTGCTCGGCTGCTATGAAGGCCTGCGTGGAGGACACCAAGCGAAACCCTGGTTTGACATGACGCGTCATGAGTTTGTAGAATCAATGAAAATCAGGATGACATGAAACCACTTCGGTCCTGAACAAGAACCAACCACTATAGTGTGATGAACATCTTGCTTCGAGGTTTACCCGGCCTGTGGGATTTGGCGTATCAAGAAAGGCGTATTGATACTGAAGACCACGTAGACGAACAGGTTCAATGGAATCAACTGTGAACCGTCACAGGCCTGCAAAATCTGAGTCCCATATTCATGTCGAACAGCTGTATTGAACATGTCAAGTCCAGTCAGATTCTCTGTGGTCTTGGTATCATACCACGCTGAGAAACTCTGATAAATCAGTTCCCGATCACACGGGATCAGCTCTCCATCAGGCGTCCTGTGACCTTTGGAACAGCAGGAACATTTGGCTGCTTGAACCTCGAAACGGCGAAGCTTCCTGTTGAGCTCCGTCAAGTTCTGGGTCATGCGCATGCCAATGAGGGATTGACACGGGTAGGTGAAGAGAAATATCACGAAAACACTGATGCTGCACAGCAACACCGTTGGGAAGAAATTTTGGGCATCCCCAGTCCCGAGCGCGATGAACAAGATCATATTCCGAACGGCAAACCACCAAGCAAAGTGCACCAACAACAACAAGGGAAGCGCCACAGGGATTGCTTGCACTGGCCTCTCTCCGCGGTGAATTCGCATGAACGTCGCAAACTCGTAGACACACCAAACACGGTCAATGTAGGATTCAGACCACAAATCACCAATTTCTTCGAATGTTTCAAGAATCCCGCCAGTCCAAGAATGCACGTTTCTTTTGCTCTCTGGTCTTCCTGTGGTATAGTCAGCTTGTCGAGAAACGCCAACCTTGGCCTGAGGAACAGATCTCGAATGTCTTGCCAAAAAACCAGGAAAATCACAAAGACTAGGTAGCCAATGGATATCGCCCAACCAGTCTGAGGCAACACCTTGTACTGGATAAGCAAGCCTGCCGCTGTGCTAAATAGTAATGTTGCAACCGCAGCAGCTTTCACATTGAAGAGCAGAAGCAGAGAGCCATACTTCAACCAATGAGATGTCTGCCAGTCATGACTGATGAAAGCATCAAAATCTAAACATCGCCTTAAGTTCCTGCGACCCACAGAGGAATCTTCCGCTTTGAAAGGTCTTCCAGCCCTGGCCAAAAGGTAGCGGAAAGGGATGCCTTGGAGAAACTCTGACGGCACCTGGTGAGACAAACTCCTGCTGGAATCTTGCTGAAATCTTGGTGAAACTGGCAGCCGGCTGTTGTGAGAATCAAGATCCTGATCCTCATCCATCACGGAAACGCGGCACTGAACCAAGGTAAGCAAGGCAGATGTCTGCTTCTCAATAGTAAAAAAATGTGGGGATCCAAAAAAAGGGGGTACCAATGGACCCACAAGATTGAATATGTTTATTAAACTGCAAGATTTTTTGTTGGGGGTATGTTGGGGTCATTCATTTTTGAGTCACAAAGAATTTGACTTTTGGTGAGATACTGGTGTCAACCACTTGAGCCTGGGGCCTGGGCACGTAGAAACACAACCGCATATCTGTGAGCCATGTAGAGTGAATCTACATAGTGAGACATTACCTACTGTACATGTCCAAATAAATGGAGATGTTCTCCCAATTTCTATGATCCTCCTGCATTGCTATCATGGAATCCCTACTGATTCTCCGGCGTCAAATCCTGGTCACGTGCTTGGGTTGCATCACTGCTGAGATAGACTCATACACCGGCCCAAAGTGACACACACACACACAATTAGGCACAAACAATTAGACACAAAGAATCTAGAGGTATCTACATGGATATACCAGCGTATGCCCACGCAAATGAACATGCTGGAACTCACGTAAAGATCCCAACTATCAACCCCATTGCTCGGCTCCGAGCCCGTTATTCCATATTGTTTTGTTGGTGAACTATGAACTCTCTATGTATTACTCGGAATCTTTGGGTTTGTCTTAATGTTGGGTAACCCTGAATCCATTGAAACCCATGTTCAAATATTTGAACATGTTTTTTTAAGTGCACAATCAATGTTTCACAGATAACAGCCCAACATACATTTTAATAAACGTGCATGTATTATGCATAATAATAGCAATAATAATAATAACCTTCAAGTATTGAACCAAAGGATTCAAAGGATTGCGTTTTGCCTTTCAACTGGTTCATTTGTTTGCCAAAATCGGAAACATGAGCCCCAATGTATCATAATCATTCCCAACATACGATCCATTATTTATACATTGCATCAGTACGTGACGATTTTTTCAGCTGCTTCGCATCAGTTGCGAGTCCTTTCAGTAGGGGCTGAAACGCATAAACCTGAGCAAAAAAAACACGTCGATAGTTATTGGGTGAGGTGACTCCAGGGGATGTACACATGGGTGATACCTATCATATGTAAGGTTTATAAAACAATTTCCCAATTAATTTATGATCATTAACTTACGTTTTTGGTTGCAAGGATCATTGATGCATCTGCAATGGAAATAACCGGTGGTTGTTCGTGATTGTTATGGTTTTATGTCTTTGCATGCTCAGCCTGAAAACCTTGATAACAATCCTTGTTCTCCTGTTGGGCATTGGTCAAGATTGTTGGATTCCCCCAAAAAAAGGTGGTCTCAGAACCTAATAAAGGTCAATTTGTTGGGTCCATTGGTACCCGTAGTTTTTTTGACCCAAACTCATGTCTTGTCTGTGTTTGAAGACAAGTTCTTATCAAAATTTCTCAACACATACACAAAATTATGTACAGTTACACATGAATGTATGCATTAAAAAACAACATGTATGTATATATATATATATTGTGAACTGTGTTGGCTTGTTTATTTGCCATTTCTGTCAAATCCAGACACCATTTCTTGCACAGGTAGAAACCATTCACTAAATACCAGAAGCCATTTGCTAAATATTAGGAATCATTTGCTAAATGCTAGAAATCATTTGCTAAATGCTAGAAACCATTTGCTAGATAAGTAGAATATGTAAAACCAGTTGCTAAGGAAAGTAGAACATCTAGAAACCATGTGCGAAATCATGTTGATTCACCAGGAACCGTTACTTAAATCATCTTAAATCAACGGGTAATATTTGCAGGTAAAGGTTGTTATTGTCAATAACCATCAATAACTTATTGACCATGTTTTCAGGGTAAACCTATTCAACCTTGGAACAGTCATTTGCAAATAGTAGTAGTTGGTGCTGAGAAAGAACCAATGTCTTTACCCCACATGCCAGTTCAATAGTACCAGCGCCTCCTTCACTCATGGTTCACCACAGTGAAACTGTTGACGCTTAAAACTTGAAACCATCTAGAATCCAGTTGGGAGTACTATCAGTAATGCTGTTTCAATCCAGGAAAGGGATGGAAAGGGTGTATCAAACAGCAACAAAAGCAGGGCATACTCTGTGCCCGATGCAGTTTGTGCCAAAAGCGCCATACAACATTGCGAATACTTCCGCGCGCGATACCGACAAGTTTTGGGATCGAAAAAATGCTCCCCAAACAAAATCCATGTGGCCGATAGCCTTTGCGTGGGTGAGTTGGTGGATGTTGTTGACCGGGTTTTGCCACATGGCATTTTTGACACTTCAGAGGATACAGGGATTTCCCCCATAAGTCGGAACTGGTGTGTGCTTGAACTTTTTCTCTATCTGCCCAGGTCTGTCATGGGAGCCTGGAGAGCCCGGTTTCTTCGGGAGCCTACCAGCTTAACCCTCCTAAAGTGTAAATATAAAGGAAACTATTTCTTAACCGTATGTCTTAAATCCTAGAAACTATTTTTCTTAAACCATCCACCGGATCTGTTCTTGCAAGCCCTCGATCAGAGCGTCTAAGTTGAAGACCAGTATCTCGACCTGCGTGAGTCTGAGCGCCAACTCGTGACCACCATCTGCGAGCTTCTGCAGCTGCGATTGTATCCATCGAAAATAATCAGCCAGCTGCCCAGTCAAATAATGTAGTTGAAAATCGATGTTGGTCATAGAGCGGAAAAGATGCTGGCAAGAGGCGCGAGCAGAACCGCCTGACTCCAACCAGCCAGGGATCACCACCCAAGAAACTCTTTCCTAAATCCTAGAAACTATTTCTTAAAACCTAGAAACTATTTCTTAAATCCCAGAATCGGTTTCTTAATCTGGGTCCCGAGCCCAGAAACTATTCACAACACCAGGTCTGCTTTCACCAATCCCAACTATTGGACAAGGATAGCAGTCAATCACTTGAAGTCCAGAGATTGCCTCGCACAAGTGAACCATGTTCTCACCACGAGAGAAAGGCTGCCAGGCTGTGAGTGCAGGTGTTCTTTGTTCTTTCTCGTTCTATGTTTGTAGACTCCTCATCTCAGAATCAGAAACTGTTACTTTCTTACTTTTCAGTCAGTTTCCATACTAATGTCTATATTTGTCAACTTGAGTTATATTCATCTTTGATGATTTAGAGCAGAAAAAGGGTATGACAGAAACCGTTTCAAACCGTTTCCGACTACTTTCTAGGTAATAGTCCGAAACCGTTTCAATATGTGTCCTGCTACTTGCTACTTCGCTGTGGCAAAAACCCACATTGTTTCAAACAGTTTCAAATTGTTTCAAGTTTCAAATAGTTTCTAAGTATGGCTAATTAGCAAAGAGTCCGACACCGTTTCAAACGTTTCATACTACTTACTAGGTAGTAGTCCGAAACCGTTCCAAGCAGTTTCAAACCAATCCCCTAGAAGGCCTAACTTACATTACTTTTTAGTTTTTTGAT